AAGCTTAAAAACTAGATTATATAGTTTTCTAAAAACTTACTACACTACACTACACTATAAAAACTATAAAATGTAGTTTTTAAAGTTTTAAGCTTATAAGAGTATATAAGGACCCACTTTTTTATTATTAGCTTATAATTTTATATTTATGCTACTTATTCGTAAAACTTATAGTTCTATAAGTATTTTATTAGATTTAATATAATTTTTTATATTTGAAACTATAAAAACTATAAAACTACAAAACTACACTACAGTTAATGCTCTAGTTAACGCCCCCTATATGCGAATCACTATCTTTATCTTCACTCTCTAGGTGTATAACGCGCTCGACGTAGGCAATCATGTGATCTAGGAGATAGTTAGCGCTATTAGGGCCATTGCACCATTCCCTTCGCATTTGCTCCACCACTGCTTTCTGTGATTCTTGTGCCTGAATAATCTCAAGATGTAGTGCTACCTATAAAGTACTCTTCCACTAATTATTCACTAATATCCCGGGGCGAAGCTTAGAGTATTAACAAAAAAACTACACTATTTCTTATCTCTTATAAGCTTACTCTTAAAGCTATTAAAAAAGAGCGTTTAATTTAAGTAATTTAAGAATTATAATAATACCTTTAAGTCTTTAAAAAAAGCGTTTATATTATACTTAATTTTAAAATAATAAAACCTTATAAAGAAAATAATTATAAAAGTAAATTACTTGATTAATACTCTTAAGAAATATTTATTATAATTTAATAATAATATTCTTTATTTAATAATATATTACTTTATAAAGAATATAACTTTATTATTATTATAATTCAAGTATTTTATTAGATTTATTATTAATTATTTAAGCTTTTTTAAAAAATGAAAATGTAGTTTTCTTGTTAATGCTCTGAACTTAACGTTATAAAAATTACACTACTAGGCGAAAAGGGAGAACTCTACTTAAGAGGGTGGATTTTCTGCTTTATATTATATAAAGCTAGAGTATTAATAAGAAAACTACAAAATTAATTAATATTAGATATTACACTAATTTTTAAAATGTAATGTAGTGTAGTAAAATTACACTATACTATACTACACTAAAATTCACTAAAAACAACAAAACTACACTACTTTTAATACTCTAGCGAAGCTAGGCCACAGGATATTTAGAGAAGCTATTACCTTTAATCGCTTCACTAAAGGCCTAGAAAAGTCGGTTTTTAATGTTAATTTAGATCTTATCTATTATGCTAGGGTATCTAACGTGGCTAGATGTTATCGTACACGTTAATCCCCTTCCACCGTGAGGCTTCGTTCTATTGTCCTTGTAGATATTCGCCGCCCGAGCAATCTAGCTTCCTGCGAATCCTGCCACTTCCTTCTCATGTATTAGCATCGCAATAATCTCCCCTATAGCTAGCTGTCTTGTTGTAGGCATCTCGTAGGTCTGGCTAGGCTTTATTAAATTCTCAAAAACAACTATGCTTACCTCAGGAAATTCGCGCCGCGCTAGCAATACTACAGCCTACTAGCTAGCTATATGAGAGCGCCTCCAGTAAAACTCAAAACTCTGTTTACCTCCTTTTTCTCCCTCTCTATCCTACACTCCTTACTTTCCCTTTAAACTCTCCGCTTCCTAGCGAGTTAAAGCCTGGAGTGTAGTATAGTAGTAAAGGAGGAGAATTCACGAGCGTGCGGGGTACGCAAAGCGCGCTGCTTTATACGCGTACAGTGTAGGCTAATTACGCACAGTCTCTTTACCGGTTTAAAATATGTAATAACGTGCCGCCCTATAATATAATTAGCCCTCTAATTCCGTTATATTTATAATAACGCGATTAATATAAGAGCTCTATTATTTAAGCTTTTTTGAAAATTGAAAATGTAGTTTTCTTATTAATACTCTAAAGGCTAGTAATTCTATGTTAATTATCGTGCCTTAAATAAAGTTATAAAGTAAAACTATTACCTACTCTTATTAGTTAAGGAAATACTATAATCTCTTTTTAAGGCTAGATAATTTATAAAGCTAAACGTACGTTTAGTATTTTATAAGCTTTAAGTTACTTTAAGAGAGAAGTATTTAATAGCGTTTTAAACTAGGTTTAAGCTATTTAAGTAATTAATATACCTATTTAGGCTAGTAGGTACCTTTATAACGTTCTAACGTTATATTAATAGCGCTTTAAGAAAAATACTAGGGGATTTTATAATAGCCTATTTAAATAACATTTTAATTTACTTAAGTAGCTTATAAAAAAATTATATACGAAAAGTACGTGAGGTATTAATAAGACTTTATATAATAAGGCTATACTTAAATATTAAGAAATATGCTTTTTACGTGTAAAAGGTAAAATATCTTAGGTTTATTATTTATATAAGTAAAGAGATTTATTTTAACTTAAAGTAAATAAAGGTAATACGTAATTAGAAATCTTTTACGCGTTAAAGAGGGGTTTAGGGATTTTTAAGGTTTATAAACTTTTATTAGAACTTTATATTAAATTTCTTATCTCTTATAAGCTTACTCTTAGGGTTACTTAAAAAAGACGTTTAGTTTAAGTGGTTTAAGAAGTGTAATATTATCTTTAAGAAGCTTAAATAATTAATAATAAGTCTAATAAAATACTTAAATTATAATAATAAATACATAAATTAGCTAATATTATAACTAATTAACTCATATAAAAAGTGGGTTCTTTTAGCTTATTATAAGCTTAGAAACTAGATTATATAACTTTCTAAAAATACACTATACTATACTATACTATAAAAACTATAAAATATAGTTTTTTAAGTTTTAAGCTTATAATACTATATGAGAACTAGAGTATTAATAAGAAAACTATATCTTTATTTTCTAAAAAAGCTTAAATAATTAATAATAAATCTAATAAAATACTTAAATTATAATAATAAATACATGATTTAGCTAATGTTATAACCAATTAGCTTGTATAAAAAGGGGGTCCTTCTAGCTTATTATAAGCTTAAAAACTAGATTATGTAATTTTCTAAAAACA